TATGAAGGACCTAGGAGAAGCGGCCTATATTCTAGGAATAAAGATCTATAGAGATAGATCGAGGCGACTTCTAGGATTGTGTCAGAGTACATATATCGATAAGGTCTTGAAGCGGTTCAAGATGTGATGCAGCCTAGAAATCCTCCAACATCAACATGGACGATAACAAACAACACCCGAACGAGAAGCAAGACGATGTCGTCAACGCTATAGGAGGAGAAGAAGTGAACACCGAGCATACCATGCCAACCATTCCTACACCTTCACCTACAAGACAAATGACTCAAAGTCTACATTCAAATACCAATGCATATGTCGAAGAGTGGTTGATCAAAACATCCGAAAATGGTCAAGACAATGCAACCGATGCGATAACGACAACAAACGCTAAACCGACACATTGTTATGGAGTTTATGTTGTCCAACACCAAAGACTTCGTGGGCTAACATGTGGGCTACTAAGGAGATATTTGAAGATTGTATTTTCAATAAATGGGCTGAAGATCCAAGCCTAAAGAGCCCAAACATATTCTACACAAGTCCAAGAAGATACCAACCCATTGGAGAGGATATGGTGCTACCTTTGAACCCAATTTCGGCCCACCTTTACGAGGCATATAACTCCATAGCTAAAGTGGAGGAATTACGTGTCAATGATGTTGACGTCAAGTTCGAGAGAATAGTGGACACAAATATGGTGACCAAATCCATAGATAGAGACACCGTCGTCGCATTCGAGACAGTGGTAAAGGATGAAGTGACAAGCTTGGAGGGATGCAAAGGAGTTGGAGGAAATATGCCCAATGATGCACGGGACAAACGTGGAATACAATGGAACATGTCTCAAACGATGGCCATGGTGAATTTCGGAAAGGCAAAAATAGAGGAAATTTATATGAATACAATTGTGGGGCTCAAGATTCCCGGAAAGAAACATCAATGGCCACCCGACATCCCAAAGACTCACATGTGGTTGATATGCAATAAACTAGGAACAACAACCGGTAAACTCGTTCCCATTTTTATTCTTGTTTATGATTCTTGTTTCAACAACTATATAGCGCAAAGTGAGAACCACATGGGGATTTTTCAAAATAAATACATTCACGAGGTTTGTAAAGGGTGCACTTGCTACACTCATGTGTTTGTTCCTCTAGCATTTGTCAATAGTTTGCAGGTGTTACACTCTAGGGAAGAGGAAATTGACATAAAGAAAGCATGGACATCTTCAAGAAGCATTCAAGCTCAAAGATCACATGGAGAAGATCATTGTTACCATCAAACCATGAAGGAATCAAGAAATACAACCACTTTAACTCCAAAGAAAATCAATACGGATGAACCATTCGATCAAGGAGAATCACAAGAGCAAGCATGTCGCATACAAAGCGAGCATAAAGACGATGCTGATCACATCCTCACATACCAAGGTAAGTATCACATATCATTCGAGTTTAATGATGCTGAATTGGATCCTTTTGATGTAGGCAAACAAGTTTTGAGGACAAAACCTTTTCAAGGGGGAGGGAACAAACTATTGACAAATGCTAGAGGAACAAACACATGAGTGTAGCAAGTGCACCCTTTACAAACCTCGTGAATGTATTTATTTTGAAAAATCCCCATGTGGTTCTCACTTTGCGCTATATAGTTGTTGAAACAAGAATCATAAACAAGAATAAAAATGGGAACGAGTTTACCGGTTGTTGTTCCTAGTTTATTGCATATCAACCACATGTGAGTCTTTGGGATGTCGGGTGGCCATTGATGTTTCTTTCCGGGAATCTTGAGCCCCACAATTGTATTCATATAAATTTCCTCTATTTTTGCCTTTCCGAAATTCACCATGGCCATCGTTTGAGACATGTTCCATTGTATTCCACGTTTGTCCCGTGCATCATTGGGCATATTTCCTCCAACTCCTTTGCATCCCTCCAAGCTTGTCACTTCATCCTTTACCACTGTCTCGAATGCGACGACGGTGTCTCTATCTATGGATTTGGTCACCATATTTGTGTCCACTATTCTCTCGAACTTGACGTCAACATCATTGACACGTAATTCCTCCACTTTAGCTATGGAGTTATATGCCTCGTTATCCTTGATGGTCATCTCTTGTTGATTAGGACAATCACGAGCCATATGACCTCGCTTCCTACACTTATAACACATGACTTCACGAGTATGGTTAGCATATGAGGGAAAAGTATTGTTACCAAGTGTTGCCCCACCCTTGTTCTTTGTGTCCATGATCATATTGACATCGAACTTCCCTTCCATCTATCACCTAAACCGAGTGCTCTCGAGTGCTCTGTTTTACTCCGAATTGTGTGTTGATTTCTAAGGACTCCGAGTGCCCTTTGGCCTGGATATCCTCTTGAAATCTAACCATAGGAATACCTTAGTGAGTCTCCAAGTGTCCCCTGGTTTCGAGCTTGTTGTATTCGTTGTCCAAAAGGCAACATAAGACACGCACGTACAAACCGCATTTCACCGAAGGAAACGAGCGAGACTTCCTTGGCTCCGTGCGTGTATCAGTGTTTACTGTTATTCACAACTGAAGAATATACAAAAAAGAGGAAAAAGGATGGCACATGTATTTGACAAACGAAAATGAATTACCAAGACTAAATAAATTTAACAACCAGAAATAATGCTTCCAAATTCTAGTGGTCTAAAGAAACAAGAAAACAACAAGAAAATCGCACAGCCTCAACTTCGAATAGAGTATATTAGTGCTTTCCAATATTCGAATCATCAAGTCAGCAGAAGAATCTAAAAGATCATTAATCGTCTGTTACCAACAAATTAGCCACGCATATGATCATCTGAATATTTCAGGAAGGAAGATCTTTCTAGAATGTTAGGCAGAAACTTTTAGGATGAAAAGTCGGTAATACCAGAGGAAATTTGTTTCTAATCAAGTACCTTACTCTCGTCAAAATCAAAGTCAACCAACGAACTAGCACCAGGAAGAGAATATTCTTCCATGCAGCGGTAGTTGTTTAATGACCAGAGGCGTATAACCTGATAAAACAGTCACACCGCCGCAGTATATGAGAGTTTATATATAGCAAGATACAATAACTATGTAGATGGTGCTTCGTATCATAAGGCAATATCTGTTAAAACATTAGGCATTAGCTACTCAGACAAAATCAATATCTGGATCAAAGGAAAACTTGAGTTTTAGAAAAGCTCAAATTTTTAGGTTCTCACAATGTACCTTATCTCCGACACCTGTAAGAACCAATCCCTTCTTCATTCGACACTGAGAAACCCTAACATACAGCATGTTAGGAATAACGCATAGAGGAAGAATAGCAGACCAATTTATGTACTGCATGTTATGGTAGGCGCATGAATGACGTTTTATAGCCTATAATGAGTAACAGGACAAGATAGGAACATGGACTTGTTCGTATTAAGTTATTAACAGGATGTGCAGAAGCAACAGACTAAGACCTAGATTTTCATGGAACCCAATGAAGGAAAGAATATAGACGATATCAACTTAGTAAACTCGGACCATGAAATTACACTGCCTCACCTGTCTGAATGTCCTTTCCAGCGATCAATATGGATTCGACCCCTTATCAACGATGTCCTGTGATGGTTCATAGCAAAATCCTCCAAGTCTATTTCAGCTGAAGGGTCCAAAGATGTCGAAGTGCCGGAAACAAGCTGCTGCATCTTGAGACAGGATGCTTGGAGCAGCTTTAGTCTCTTGATGACGGTATTCCTCCAATCAATGATGAAATGCGAAGGGCAAGATGAATATGATACAGAATCGCCCTCATGGAAGGAGATTTGCCCACGCAAACCACATGGTTATCAAGGGAAATGTCAGCTTTGTGGCACGCAAGGTCACAGCGCTCGTCGCTGTCACCTTTATCAGCCTCCCTCTGGTCCAGCTCCGCCGAAGAGTACCAGGATCTGCAGACGACAGAACAGTGAACGAGGTCGAAGAGATGGAGAAAGGAGAAGATGGTACAGAGGATATCGGCGTCAAGAAATTCCATCGTTGACGGACCTCTCCGCCGCATCTTACTGGCCGACAACTCGCCGTCGACGGTTTTTGTAATCCCCATTCCTCCTCCCTTTTTTTTTCTTTTTTTCTTTTTATTAAATATCCGTTTGTTTTGTTTGTGGTTAATAGAGATGCGACTCTGTGGCGGCAGGGGACAACACCCTCTGCTTTGATCCGAAGCTTTGATGTGTTAAGTTCCGTCACATATTATTTTCATTTTTGCTGCTTTTGCATTTTTGTGTCAAACAAGATTTTATTCTTGAAAAACTTAATCTATGTTATCGGAGATTTTAAAAGCCCATGGAACGTTTAAATAGTATAGCAAAAAAGTAAATAATGAATAAAAAGAAATGGCAATTAATTTGAAAGCAGAAATGTGTTGAGAAAGAGAGATGAAAAACACAATGTACAAGAGTATGGAGATTAAGAAGAAAAAAAGGGGTACTTAATAACGAGAGGTGTCGGGGAGAGGAGTGGAGTGAAGGAAGTGGGAGAGGAGAGAGAGGGCTCGTTTGGGCTGGTAGCTGGGGACTTGGTGACCCGCCCCTCTCACCGTTGCGAAGGTAAGCTTCCCTCCCTCGTACACTTGTGTGTATCCACCCACCTGGCCGCCGAGGTACCAAGGATGCCAAGGAGTGGAGGTGGTAAGATTCATCTTCTTGAGGGAGTACTTAGTGGAGGTGACTGGGATTCGACCATCGGTATCACCGCTGAAAACCCAAATACGGATGTGGTGATTCATCAGCTCCCGAAGCAGAGGGATGACAGTGGAAGGGCTGTCCTTCCACTTCTTTATCACCCTGCTGCATCCCTCCCACTCGTATCCTATCTTCGTCACGTTCGCGTGCATTGCTTCTTGGACCTCTTCTCTGTTTAGGTACGCGTGCACATAGTGGTCGCTGCATGGGTCATACTCCGTTATCTGCCATTACTTCGCTAATTATTTTCTTGTTAATATATACACACACACTAAAACAAAATAATTAAATATATATAATATATATATACGGTGGTTCTTCTGGGACGGCGAGTAAGTGTGGAGTTGGGGCAGATAGGGGCGTAGATGTTGTAGATATCCAGGTAATATATGTCCATGTCTATTTGGTCCGACGCCGCTGTGCAATCCTCCGTCTGCTCGATTGCCGAAAAATCACAGCTCTTCTTTAGTTTTATAAGTGAATCCTCCGATATCAACGCGTGACTCTCGAAGAAATCGTACATTCCCTTCACATCCGTTTCATCGTCTATCACCGCATTCCCCATCTGCCAAAACACGCACGCATTGAGCCGTTTTACCACACAACACGCATACAAGGGGAGGGAATTACCATGATGCCCTTGAGGTTGATGAGAGTGCGGTTGTGGAGAAGGATAGTGTGAGCAAGTTGAGGGATGTAGTGGCCGGCGTAGCTCTCACCGGCGATGAAGAAGTCTCGGCCTTTGTAATGAGGGAACCGCTCCAACCACTTCACCAAGAACACGTAGTTGTCGGCCGCCGTCTTCCTGTCCCCGAGCTCCTCCTCCATCTCCCTCGTCCTGTTCGTGTATGAGAACCCCACTCCCGCCGGCGATTCCAAGAACAGCACGTTCGCCGCTTTCACATTACCATCACATCTCAGTTAACATGCTTTTCCATTGTATTCCCAATCAGATAGATTATCACGTTTACCATTGTTCCATGAGTATCGGTTTCTGTATAGCGTTTTGCCGTCGCTGTGTACTCGGAAAGGTCCTATTTCTTGCATTGCTCCATACCCCAGAGACGAGCATCCCGGTCCTGTTCTTTTTTCCCCAGCAGGGAAATAACATTACATTGAAATCCAGAAGGGTGAGTAGATAAATCGTTGTTTTTAATGATGGGGCAACAAGAGGAGGCGTGCAAAATAATAAGCACGCGGCCAAGCATGTGATTTCGGAACCCGATGGAAGATGGTGTCTTTTCATGATTACAGTAATATTCATTCTACCTTAAAAGGAACATAGTAGGCCTGTAAAAACGGATTGAATGCTCATGAAACTGGGGAATGATTTATTAATAACAAGATAAAGGAGGGAGGAAGAAAAAATACCACCGTTGAGCCAGAGAAGAAGAGGAAGGGTGGAAGAGTTGGAAGAGGCTTCAACGAAATAATAGAAGAAGGAGAGAGCGGAGGAGGGATCGAGGGTGACGTAACCGGCGTACTGATTGAAATGAACGGAGGAGTGGGGCTGACCTGGCAGCCTCGCCACTCGATCACTCTCCCTCCGCAAGCGCTCGTCTTTGTCCTGCTCCGTCGTCAGATTCCCAAGGGGCTGGAAGTGGGTTTTGTCCACACCCTCCCGCTTCCACTCGTAGAGTCGTCTCAGGACGTGAACTTGCTCGCCTCTTCTACACTCCGCTACCATTACCATTACCATCACCATCACCATCACCACCCCCCAACCCTTTCCGTTCCTCCCCATTCCTCTCTTTCTTTTTTCCCAATAGATTGATCTGTGACTCCCTTTAAGAAGGATATGAGAGACTAGGAATTCCCATCGTTTTTCTTTATATGTATGTGTATTATTCCGAGGTGGGCTGTTAAATTAGACGGGCGTTTTTTTTAATGCTTATAATATGGATAGGCGTGGTCAAACCTATCACTCGAAGAATGATTGTTAGTTTTCTGGGGGTATATATTAGTTTCAACCACCCATTGAATAATCGCTTGGTTTTTTGTTTAACCAGTCTTCCTCAATAGTTTACATCTTCAGTTTTTACAATGCGATTGACCGCGATGGATGGTCTATGTATGACTTTTTGTTGTTATTGCGCACAACATAAAAAAAGAAGCAAACTTTAGACTCTCGTGTGATAAACTCATATCGCAGTTTAGGTGTAAATGCGAAACCGATTAGTCGTGATACAGCATGGAGACCAAATATAAAAGTTGGTCAACGCCATCAATGGTGCGTGTAGGAGCTACATGAGTAAGTAAACACGGATCACGTTATGCCATGTGACGTAGGAATACACGCAGACATAAACTACGGGATATTAATTACACATGCCATGGCCGGGCAATTGCAAGGATCCAATCGATGAAATCAATAATGATAGCTTAATCTACCTTTTAAAAAAAAACAACATAGAAGACAATGATTGAGCGGAACATGGGAGGATTTTCTTGGACCGCGCGTCAATGGCCAGATCCGGTCTTGCAGCCCCTGGCCTGGCTCCCTCCTTTCTACTCTCCCACTCACGGTCAAACCTATTCCTCCCGGGCCTCTTTGGAATAATATATAATACTTTCAGTCCACTAAAGAAATATTTGGATTTGGGCTCAGGTACGGAAGGCTCGTTAGCCCACTTAAAGCCCAATTAAAAACATGGCTCGGTGTCACGTCAGTGTCATTTGATTTGAGAATACAAGGGAACCATGCAACAGGTATGGTAATTTATTCGTATAAATACACAAATCATGCGTCTAATCATTGATACCAAAAAAGATGTTTTAAAAGAATGAGATTAAATATCGAACATCACGGGTCGACGAATAGAATATCGTTGGGCCATACAAAAAGGTGGGTTTTCTATTTGAGGAGGTCATCAATGGAGTCTCTGAAAACATTTCGAAGTGACATGTCAGATGCATTGAGGAGGGTGGTCTCCCAAGCAACACCCTCATTGGCGTGGATGAGTCAATGTGTCGGCCTCATAAGAACCATAAACGAGCGCTTCGGCCGCCTCATCAGGCAGATAGACCATCCGATGAGCAGATGGAAGGGCGTTTGTGTGGAAGAGTACATGAGCTACGTACACCTTGTCCCTTCTCGACCACCTCAACCTCATCACCTACTCCCTTTCTCATCTCTCTCAGGCTCGGCTGCGCCTCTCTCACGCCTTGAGCCTCCTTGACCTCGGCCAGTCCTCCACTTCCCTTCAACATCTCAAACAAATCCATCCATCTCCGGCGGTAATGTTGACAAACAGAGGAGAGAGAAGCAAACCACGTGACGATGGCTCCAAGGAGAGAATCGTGCTAATGGAAGGAAATCAAATCACAATCTTATTGTTATTAGTCAAAGATATCATTCTCTCACTTATCTCCACATTCCTAGTGATTTAGTTTCTATAAACTATTACTATTCACTTGTATATATACGTTGTAATACGCAACCTCAAATATAGTGGAAAGTATTCTCATACTCGTCTTATATGGTATCAAGAGCCCCATAGTCAAACGACAATTTTTTTTTTCCACCGCAACCACCCGGTAACCCCCTACAACCCTGATGACCCCTCGGCACCATTGATCAATGTCAATGTTGCTAATGTCACCAAGCTGTCAGCCACTAATTACCTCACATGGAGTCTACAACTCCGGTCCCTACTCGAAGGCTACAATCTTGCGGATTTCCTCAATGCCGATACAGCAGTATCGGCCACCATCACAGAGAACAACACTGTCAAAGCCAACCCAGCATTTCCTGCATGGTTCCGTCAAGACAGGCTCATCTTCTCCGCTCTCTTAGGTTCTATCACCGTGTCTTGCCAAGCTCTCATCGCTCGCTGCACATCCTCGAGCGAAGCATGGGCTGTCCTTGCTTCTACCTACGGCAGATCAAGTCGTGGACACATTAAGCAGATCAAAGACAGCATGCGCAGATTCACAAAAGGTAACAAGTCGATTGACGATCTCATGCACTTCTACAAAATCAAAGCCGATGAGTTGGCTCTCCTCGGCAAACCAATCGACCACGAAGATCTTGTGGATCTAATTCTATCCGGACTTGGTGATGAGTATCGTTCGGTGAAAGACGCAATCAATGCTCGTGACCTCCCGATCTCTTTTGTCGAGCTCCATGAAAAGCTCTTAAACCATGAGTCGACATTGCTTGGATCAGACGCTGCTGCGGTCATCTTTCCTGTCACGGCGCATAACACCCAAACCCGATTTGCTCATCGCCCACAATGGAACTCTGCACCGAAACAACCAGGAGACTCGGCTGGCTATCGCCCACGCAAACCACATGGTTATCAAGGGAAATGTCAGCTTTGTGGCACGCAAGGTCACAGCGCTCGTCGCTGTCACCTTTATCAGCCTCCCTCTGGTCCAGCTCCGCCGATGCAACCTCCCTCTTCCTGGCAACCTCGGGCCCACAACACAACAGTCTCCTCCATGCCCAACTCTCCGACGTGGCTTGTAGACTCGGGTGCCTCGCACCACATTACATCTGACTTGGCGAATCTTTCCTTTCATGCACCGTACTCCGGCGGTGACGACGTATTGCTTGGAGACGGTTCTGGCCATACCATAACTCACACGGGTTCTACCTCCCTTACCTCACACTCTCGACCTTTTCATCTCTCTAACGTCCTTTATGTCCCAAACCTACGTAAAAATTTGATCTCCATTCATAAACTATGCACCACTAACCGTGTCTCTGTTGAATTCTTCCCTTTGCATTTTCAGGTGAAGGATCTCGCCACGGGGGCACCTCTCACGACGGGACTACTCAAGGACGGAGTGTATGAGTGGCCAACCCTACCGTCCTCCAAACCTTTACCATCTTCTCATGCCTTGTCCAAAATAAAGACCACGTTGCTTGAGTGGCACTCTAGACTAGGCCACCCATCAACCGAGGTTCTTCGTCGAGTCATTCATAAGTTTTCCCTTCCAATGTCACCTTTTACTCAAAAGGATTTGTTGTGTGAACCATGTGCTATTAATAAAAGTCACAAGCTTCCCTTCTCCACCTCTACTCTAAAATCCTCTCGCCCCCTTGAACTCATTTTTTCGGATGTGTGGAGCTCACCTATTGAATCCGTTGATGGCTACAAATATTACTTAATATTTGTTGACCATTACACGAGGTACACATGGTTCTTTCCCATCGTTCGAAAGTCTCAAGTCGCGGATGTTTTCCAAAAATTTCATGCTTTGGTCGAAAACCGTTTCAACCATAAAATTCAAACCCTTTACTCGGACAATGGTGGAGAGTACATAGCTCTTCGCTCATACCTCTCTTCTCATGGTATTACCCACCTCACAACACCACCACACAGCCCCGAACATAATGGGGTTTCCGAAAGGAAACACCGTCACATTATGGAAACGGGACTCACACTTCTTACCCACGCATCCATGCCTCTCACTCTTTGGACATTCTCCTTTTCTACAGCGGTTTACCTTATAAACCGTCTTCCGACTAAAGTCCTAGACCACTCTTCCCCTTTTGAACGATTGTTTAACTCCGCACCAAGTTACACAAAGCTCCGAACATTTGGATGCTTGTGTTTCCCTTGGTTGCGTCCATATTCTCACTCAAAACTCGACCCTAGGTCTATTCCCTGTGTTTTTGTTGGCTATTCACCAACACAAAGCGCATTTTTCTGTCTTGATCCCACCACATCACGTGTATACTCGTCCCGACATGTCACCTTCTACGAGTCATCCTTCCCTTACCCACGTTTGTCCTCTCTAAGCACATCACTCGACACTGACCATCCATCACCAGCTTCATCGCCATCTCATACACTTGTTCCTCGAGTTAACAATCTACCACCGTGTCAGCAGGTGTCTTCCCCGAGCGATGATCACTCACCCGACTCTGCTCCATCATCACCGCCAGGTATCACTGACCACCTTGATTTACCAGCCTCGCCACCCATGCAAAACTCCTCTACAAATCCTCCCATCAGCCCAACATCACCATCAACCATACCACAGTCCAATGCACAGCTCCCATCACCTGAACATTACGTACCGAATGACCATCCACCCGAAACTTGCACCGCAAGAAACCGTCACCCGATGACAACTCGGTCAAAGAACCAAATAACCAAACCCAACACCAAATATGCCAATCTCTCCACCACGCTACCCCTGACAGAAACCGAACCAACCACCGTCTCCCAAGCTCTCAAGTCACCGTCTTGGAGACAAGCCATGACGGACGAATTTGACGCCTTAGTCAAGAATGGAACGTGGGACTTGGTTCCTTTTGAGTCATCTCACAACCTTGTGGGTTGCAAATGGGTTTTTCGTACTAAACGTCATGCTGATGGTTCCTTTGACAGGTGCAAAGCACGGCTCGTAGCAAAAGGCTTTCATCAACGGCCCGGGATTGACTACCACGACACGTTTAGTCCTGTCATCAAACCGGCGACAATCCGGCTTGTTTTGAGCATAGCCACCACTCGAGGATGGTCTTTACGGCAACTTGATGTCAACAACGCCTTCCTCCAAGGACGGCTACATGATGATGTCTACATGGTCCAACCACCGGGTTTTGTTGATCAAGATCGCCCGACACACGTATGCAAACTTCATAAGGCACTCTATGGCCTTAAGCAAGCGCCACGTGCATGGTATAATGAACTTCGCCAATTTCTACTACAGTTAGGCTTCATCAATTCCATGGCAGACACATCACTCTTTATTTTCCGGAACAATGGCGTCATTGTATACATTCTTGTCTACGTTGACGACATTGTTGTAACCGGAAACAACGCACGTTACTGTCAAGATTTCATCTCCAAGCTCTCGGTTAGATTCTCAATCAAAGATCTTGGGAAGCTCTCATTTTTCTTGGGTGTAGAAGTATGCTCCACAGCTACGGGTCTTCAGCTCTCATTCTTCTTGGGTGTCGAAGTATGCTCCGCAGCTACGGGTCTTTATCTAACACAAAAACGATACATTCATGATCTGTTGCGGCGGACGAATATGTTACAGGCGAAACCAGTCGCCACGCCTCTGTCCTCGACGAGCTCTCTTACCCTGTCTGCTGGTGAAGTGTTAGACAACCCGACTGAATATCGAAATGTCGTCGGCAGCCTCCAATACCTTCAGTTCACAAGACCCGACATTGCATTCTCGGTAAACAAGCTCTCCCAATTTATGCATCGTCCCACAACCGAGCATTGGCAAGCGGTGAAACGTGTCCTTCGATACCTTGTGGGAACACAGTCACTTGGTCTCTTCATGTCCACCAAGAACACACCAACTCTACATGCTTTTTCGGATGCCGATTGGGGAGGTAACCGGGATGATTTCACATCCACAAGTGCCCACATTGTTTATCTTGGCAGTCACCCGATATCTTGGTCCTCCAAGAAACAACGCATAGCTGCTCGCTCCTCCACGGAATCGGAATATCGCTCGGTGGCATCCACGGCATCGGAGGTACGATGGTTGTCCTCATTACTCTCTGAACTCGGCTTTGCACCGACTACACCTCCAGTAATATATTGCGACAATGTGGGTGCGACATATCTATGTTCGAATCCGGTGTTTCACTCACGCATGAAACATGTCGCGATCGACTATCATTTCATCCGTGGTCTTGTTCGTGACGGATTCTTGCGTGTCACACATGTAAATTCACAAGATCAACTCGCCGATGCATTGACTAAGCCATTACCGCGCGCACGTTTCGATCTATTGCGGGTCAAGATTGGTCTCTCCTCCGAGACACATCTTGCGGGGGCATAATGGAAGGAAATCAAATCACAATCTTATTGTTATTAGTCAAAGATATCATTCTCTCACTTATCTCCACATTCCTAGTGATTTAGTTTCTATAAACTATTACTATTCACTTGTATATATACGTTGTAATACGCAACCTCAAATATAGTGGAAAGTATTCTCATACTCGTCTTATACGTGCATCATGCCATACATGACCTGCAGAATATGGGGACATGGGTTTGCGGTGTTGTGTTGTCTGGTCTCACCGGGAACTCCAAATTACCTTACTTGGAAAGCAGAAGATGGATTCATGATTCTCAGTCCATGGCGTCTGCTTTGGGAATCTTGGTCAGAGACGTGGGAAGGGTGAATGATGCGGCAACTCGCCTTGAGGCCACTTTAACCAACGGAGAAGGATGCGCCATAGCTGCGGAAGCGCTGCGGACGGAACTCTTTTCACTGCAGCGTGAGAAGGATAAACTGATCAAAGAGGTGGACGGTGCATTCGCAGTGGTTATGGATTCCAGAAATCAACTGCTTTCCAACACGTTTTCCCTTTAAACGGATCCATGCAACTGCTGGGTTTAAACTTATTTCTGTTTGATAAAGTCCGAGGTTGTAGGAGTTTTAGTTTGGATTGGTCTCTTTGCTTTCAGTATTTATTTTTGTAATTTGCTGTATTTCGGGTTAAAAAAACTCTCTCCCAAAAACAGGGCTACAATTTTGCTTTAGATACGATGATAAGAGAGGGAGATGTTGCGGTTAGTTACCCACTCCGAGGAACTGTGTAATCCAGATATTTCTGAAGCACAGAAGTAGAGAGTCTTGAGTCATTCCTGTCTAAATAGTGACAAAATCTAAGATTACATTAACCAGATATTACTTCCATTCCGTACACATGATTAACAATGGGCCAGGATGAAAATGGTTCCCACCAACAATTCAAGTTGTAGCAGTAGCAGTAGCAGAGCCCAGAAGGCCTTGGGTGATGAGGTCCAGAATGGCGCCTAACGCCTTGTATTCCTCAAACGCCTTGTCAGCAATCTTGCAGCGCTCAAACTCCGGCAAGAACAACCACAACGCCGTCGCCATCACGAACCCTACCGTCAACATCCTCGCCACCGCCGTCGGGAACCGCCACCTGCCACCGATGGCCTTCTTGACGGCGATCTCCACCGTCGTACAGATCCCGTGTATTAAGAAGAACCACGTCAGCTCCCATGCCGGCCTCAGCCGCCCCATGTAGTAGAAGATTAGCTCGTGCATCAGCGCCGACACCACGAAGGTGCTGAAGACCGCAGGGAGCGGGGCCCGCATCTTGCCCAACACGGAGGAGAACAGCCGCAGAGACGGCTCGTAGACGGTCGGCCGAAGGATGCTGGATACCATCAGGTTCCATCGTCTTCCCCAGAAATCTTGAAGAGACGTGGCGAGGTATGCCTCCTTGAACTGAGGCTCCAGCTCCAGACCTAACGTGGCTCGACCCCCGGCCGCAGCGGCTGCCAAGATCAACTCAAGGATGAAGTAGACGTGGAGGGCGTAGAGCGCCAACACAGCCTTACGAGGCATTCTCTCGCTGTAATCGTATGCTTTCAGGAAAAGCACCAAAAGCAACGCCTTTATGGTGTAGTTCAGGGGACCCTCCCGGGATTTTGGTTTTCCGGTCCCATCTGGGCCTCTCTCTGACTTGGGTTTGGTGTGGAGATGGGATACCCGAGATGGATCGTGATCATTTCCGGTCGAATCAGGGTCTACCCGAATCTTGATGGGCAAGCAAGAGACAGCTAAGAAAATAGGAAGAGAGTGAGGTATGGGGTCGGGAGAGAGAGGGCCGCGTCCGAAAGCGAAGAGCAAGAGCTTGAAATTGGCGAGCCAAGCGACAAAGAAGGCGGTAATGCCGCCGAAATGAACGGAAGAGATGTGGAGAGGAACGAGGAAGAAGGCGAAGACAACAGGGGCTACCAGAAGCAGCCTTTTTATGCCTTTTGGAACCAATTTTCCGACGAAGAAGCAGTAACAGAGGGACGCTATCACCAATGCCCACACCTTTACGAGCTTCTTCGCCCCATCCATTGGCACCCTCTCCTCTGCTCTCTGTTTAGAGCCCCCCCCCCTCTCGTTTTTTAAATTAAAATCCACCAAAATTGCGACACGACTGAAACACGTGTCCTTTCTGTTGTTTTATTAATATTAATAAAAACATGATCTCTTGTCCCCTTCCCCAATCTCTCGTTTGCGGTGTACACAAACTCCCAACTCACTTTTCTTCTTCTTTCTGGAGCATATTGTTCGTGTGCTGCAGCTTCACCCTTCTCGTGTGTGTGTGTTTGTATTGTAAGATGCGGAAAGAAACTAGTGCGTGTCCCGTGCACGGGATGGGATACTTTTATATAGTTTTTTTTTTTTGTAGTTTCAGCAAAAGATACACATGTATATAGCATAGCTTACGGCGTGATTCCTAGACAGATCTCGGTGAGATCTTCTTCACTGACGGAGGAGCTAATCCGCAGCATCCATTTTTTTTTCCTTTCTAAAATCGCGCTGTCTATCTCTTCTGTGATAGCTTTGGGATAATTTCATCTTATTTGCAATCCACTAAATATAATATTTGAAGTAACTAGTGCCTAAAAACCATAACTACAATTTTTGAACTAGCGCGTGTAAAAGCAAACAATAATATTTCAACTACCATAAGGAAAATTAGAGTGGAACTTTCAACAGGTAATAAAAAAAGAACACGAGAACATTTCAACTTACACGTTCACACAAAAAGAAGTTGACATTGAAGAATAAACAGAAGAAAACAAACATTTTAATAATTCCACTACACTCAATTATAATGAATTGTCGTTGTCCTTTTTATTTAAAAAAAAAAACACAACCAAAACCAATAACAGTAGATTACAAGAATAAATGATAGAAAGGCAATTGGATGACTGAGGTTTGTGTTGTTGCTTACAATGTATGAACGCTTTAGGACTTGCCAATGCGATAACCTAACGCACGCATATATGTGAAGGCGTTGTAGAACGAGGGCTCTTAGTATTTTTACTGCAATCACGCGAGTTTATGACCCTTTAATATCATATTTAATTCCTCGAGGTGACTCAACTAGAAAAAAACTAAAATCCACGGACAAGTCCGTGTGTTAGAGACCTAGTGTCCGGAATTGGGCGTTTCTCTACAATAATGGGCTCTTATTGGGCCTACCATCTTCTCTCCCAAGTCCATTGTCTGTAAAGTGGCCGACGTGCCATTTTGCAGAACATACGGAACAAAGTGTTTCCTACAAGATCCTCTGATCCTCTGCGCTCTGTTCCATCGGATTTTCCCCAGTTTCCTGTTCAGACAGCTTGCTTTCTATGCCATTTCTTTTTTGAATCTTACCCCTCTCTCTAACTCCCTATCATCGGTTGCAATTTCTTGATGGGCAATTGGAGAAATCGACCTAGATCCTACCGCCGAAGATCTCCCCAGAGATCATGGTATTCCGGCCGAGATTTTTCTTCCGATGGTATTTCGTTTTTATCACATCTTCCACTTCCCTCCACTTCTGTATGTTTCAGTTTTTCATTCGCTTTCGAAGATCTACTCTGATTCTGGGTTTGATGTGTTCTGCAGTTGTTTGACGAACTCATGCTACTTGTGTTCTTATAAGGCTTTTTTCTTTCCGATATCAATTTTGTTATGCGGATTAGGTTTATGGCATTTGTGGGAGTGTCTATAATGAGAATGTTGTATATGCGTCATGGAAACTTAATCCTGATCCTCTCTACTGATTTTTGTGGAAGTTGGTGAGCTCTAGATTGTCGTCTTTCATATGAGTCGCAATTTTTTAATTGGCTTTTACTGTCAAAGGTTATGGCGAGGAAGATGGGATTCCAGCATGGGAAAAAGAATTCTGTGAGTTGATTGGATGCGTACCATGGCAAAAGGTCGTGGAGGCCAATTACTTCAAGAGCTGGTACCAAGGTAATGTAACCACGTGGAATGATGCTGCCTGCGAAGAGGCTTTTCAATGTGTCAAAAAACGGTTTTGGTCAGAAATCAGTGGTCTTCCCTGTGACATTCCTCTCCCTGATCCTGATATGTTCATTGATGAAATCGATTGGGACTCTGTGATTGATCCCCAACTGATCACTGACTTAGAACTGGCTTATTTTGCTGCTCCTGATGAAGGAACGGTTGATCTTAAGACTGGGTGTAGGGACAAGAATGTGGGAAATTCTAAAATGCTCCCCGAACAGTATAACGAGGAGACTGACCTGCCCAAGAATACATGGGAAATCAATGGCAGAGTGGATGGTCGGAACCTATCAGAAAGTTTTACTGATAACAAATTCTTTATGGATTCAAAGAACAGCTTGAACCCTTGGGAAGCCAAGACTAGTTGCAGAAATGAGGCAGCAAAAGATCTAACATGGGGCGTCTGCTCGGGTAAGGGATGGGGCAATTCTCAATGGAAAACCAAAGATAGGGGCAATGACAGTTGGGAGGAAGAGTGTTGGGACAATGATGGATGGAATAAGTCAGGGCATCAAAACAAGAAGACAAAAAAATTTGCAAGTGTTTTCTCTGTAGAGTGTAATGCTGAGCCTGAAATGCTCGTGAATCCTTGGGAAGCCAAGTCTAGTTGTGGAGTTGAAGCAAGAAAAGACGCCACATGCGGGGCTTGCTCAGGTAAGGTATGTAGAGGCAGAGGTTGGGAGAACAATGGTTGGGGCAATAACAGATGGAAGAACAAGGAAAGGGGCTTCAAAAGTAAGGAGAACAAGGGTCAGGGCAATAAATATGGTCAGAATCCTCCAGGATCAAAGGGGCAGGATTCAGGGGAACTGCATAGAGGTTGCAATTCCTGGAGAAATGTCTGTTTGCCTGAAAATGATGATGTAAGAGATTGTGGAGCAAACATAGGGGGTAGGGAAACAAACCGGACAAGTGATATGAAACAAAGGAAGTGGGAAGACAAACGATCGAGTGGAGAATGGGGAGATATAAATTCATATTTATTCAGAAACGACGAGTACCGTTCTAATTTCAGAAACTCAAGGTTTAACAGGGATGCTAAACAGCGTAATAGTAGCGACTGGAGGAATGTGAAAGTGAGCAAGAATGTCACTTTTCACGGCTAAGTATCATGGATCCTCCATGAATTGCTCCACGGCTAGAACCGCTGACAGATTAGCAACCTATCTGTGCTCGATGACGTTGATTTGTGGAGACCGTCAGGTCGGTATGCTTTTGGGGGTTTCCATTTTGTCTTGATAAACATGGGTGTTGCTGGGTTTCTCATCAATGTGGATAGGAACAGTTTTGTGTAATCGAGTTTCAGGTAGTTCAAAGGTGATGCTTTATGTGATTCCTTGGAAGGGGACATAGGTACATTAGAGAAGTTTTTTGCATACTACTTGTATAGCAATTGGTCTGAATTTTCTTCTTGGACCTCTTTTTTAGAGCATATTTGGCAAAAACTTCCCGAACAGTGTGTATCTCCGGTAGCGTCCAGAGTTCTAACGCACATTTAAAGCACTCAGCCAAATGGCGTGTTTTGGGAGAAAATATGCTTATAGAGTTTGTTTTTGCTCGCTAGCATTTTCTTGTGTTTGCAGGAAACATGAGCAGAGCAAAAGCGAAGGGCCGACTTGGCTTAACAGTAAAACCATTTACGGTGGGGTCTGAGGTCGTGGGTCTGAGGTCGTGGGTTCGAATACGTCTCTCTATATAAAATGTAGAGGCAAGGCGGACTACTCTATTCCCTTTCCTATCCCCCCACTAGATGGGATACAAGTGGGTTGGCTCTTTTTATGAACAAAGCAACATAGGACCACGAGGGAGTGAGTTTGGGCTCTTTTTTCTAGAAATCAGGTGACTTTGACGGACTCGTGTTTTGGTTCATCATAGTTACAAGCACCCTTTTTATGGTTTTCTGGTGTCGGTAATACACTATACAAGCAGTCTTCCAAATGTTCGAAGCAGAACATGTTTGGGATTGGAATTTTGTTCAAATTGATCAGAATTTTTTTTTTATAATGTATGCTTTTTGTTCTAGTTTTATATTTAGAATCTCAGTAGTTACTATTAATCAAATGACAACAACAAAAAGAATTGACAATGTTGGGTATGATAACAATGGACATTACTACATTTGGTAGGGCATAAGGAAAAATGTGGAATGATATCTCTTCTTCTGTATCATTTAAACGTGTGCGGTGTTATGCACAGTGATATAGAGCTATCATGTGAACACTCGTTTGATTCGATCCATCCGCTCCATCTTTTTTTTTTTAACGCGGAATTTCTTCTCTCCAATTCCTTTAAGCCTCCATCCTTTATGTCCCAAAAGGGACGACAGCCACAACACAGCAATGAAATTTTTTTTGAGGGATTACAAGTTACAAATGTCTAATAGAAGAAAACCAACCTCCTTCGCAGCGGCGTTACAGCCTAAGAGATGCGAAAGAGTTCGCCGATCAGATCTTTAAAAACGAGGCGCTCGATGTCAAGCACCGCCTCTGACACCTCTACCTGGTTCCACGCCTCTTCCGCCAGGTCTCTTCTCAGTGCGCCGCACACCACACCTGCCAGGTCGTCCTCTTCTTCCCTGGCGGAGGAAGAGGAGGAGCTTCTGTCTCTCATCTTCTGAAACTCGGACCATATCTGCTGCAGTGAAATTTCTCCCATGGCTATCCACGGTGGCAACCGCCGTCTCCTGCTGATGATTTCCTGGACGGTGTCGAATGTGAGACGTCTCTCCAGAGTCGCAGATTTGCCCTTGAGACACTGTTGTTTTTCCAGCGTCGAGAAGATGTCACAGTGTTGGGGGAGGTAATCGGAGGCCCAGAGGACGTCGGAGATGTATATCAACTGGGAGTCCTCCGATTTGACCGAGGAGCCCCACGCTTCGTCCTCCGATTCAGTTGGTTGCTCTGTCAAAAATGAGATTTCGGTTCCAACAGCAATTTAAATCATGTTGATATTTCCCATTCATCCACAAGTGTCAAATACGGACCTGACTTGTGTCCGTGAAGTGTGATCCAACAATGTTCAGACAAAAGCTCTTAAAGGTGAGTTATGGATAAACCCAAAAACCACATCACATCACATGCACCGTGCCGACCCTACGACTAATAACAAAAATAAAACTCGTAAATTGCGTGATTCGTGAAAGAGATCAGTACCCGTGAATTCAAGGCTGCGTTTCATGACGGGCGATGGAGAAGACTCCTCGTGGTAAAGCGACGAGTCAAGAACCGAGACGGGACTCGGTTGCGACTCGGTGGCCTCCGCCGCAGCTGCTGTCATCTCCGCGATGCTGTGGAGCAGCTTCTCGCATCTCTCTAATAGACTCTTCCCTTCTGTGTTATACTCCTCCACCTTCCATCTCTGCAGAGTTCATATCCAACATTGTTATTCGTCAGATGCTGCTGCTCATATAAATCTAGATGCTTTTGCTCATATAAATCTGGCTTTACAAGATTTTTTTAAAAAAAAACAATGAAGTTTTCTTTACCTCTTCATCCGCTTGAGATCTACTCCTGGAAACCATGGAGAAGCATTCGTCTTCCTCATCCAGGATGGCTCCGCCCCTGTTTGTGCGTTCTGTCGTCTGGACTGGTTCAGATCTCCCCCATGTAACGATCTTCGGAGACTGAGCCGGAGAGACTCGCCCATGATGTTCGGGTGGCCCCTTCGACGCTACTCTCCTATTCGGACTCTTCGTGCTGTTGTCACTTCTCGTCGGGGAAACCCTACTCCTTCCTCTGTTTTGATCTCGACCAGAAGAGCTCGCCCCTCGATCTCTCCTGGGGTTCACCGATACAATTGCAGCTTCAGATCTGAGACCGAAAGGAGACGAATCGCGGCTCCCGCGAGGATGAGATGGAGATCTAGCTGGTTTCACCGGAGATTTACGGTTATCGAACACGAAATTTCTGTTGCTGATTCGGTTCTGCTGACCGTTTGACGAGTGAAGCAGTCCTTTCAGACGAAAAGCTTCAAGAAGTTGCTTTAGGGTTTCCAGATCGCTCGGATGCTCGTCGATACTTCTCATCCTTATCCTCTTCTCGAGATCTCCGGCCATGGGTCCGGTCTGTTTGGGCTCTGGGAAGAAATCCGTCGAATCGAAAAAACTCTTACGTCTGACGGCGCATCTTTGCTGCGGCGTCGCTCTTGATGGCTGAGCTCGGGTGTTTCTTTCGAGGAACTCCCTAGGGTCGTCATCTCCGTTACTGGTCTGCTCATCTCTGAACGGAATGCTAGAAATGCTGTTATGCTGAGTTTGGGATTGTTGAACTTGAAAATTGAGGCCATCGACGAATCTGTACTCTCTGTTAACCCTGGATTCGGACGCAGATCTCCGTAGCTCGGCTTTGTGAGGCTGTTCAGGATCTGAAGTAGGCAGTGGTTCCAGCCCCATGAGGCGTGCGATCACGCTCGGCGAGCGACGCTGGCTATCTCCCTCGGGGGTATCTCGCCGATTGGGCGGCGGAATGGCAGAGTCAGGACGGATCTGTCTGGGCTTGAGGCTTCCCTTGGCATCCACGACGGCTCTGCTATCGAGTGAGAGCCTAGGAGCTTCTTTGGAGAACTTCCATGGCGACCTGGAGCCCTCCTTGAACTCGATGATAGGAAGAGTGAGGGGCGATCTGGTGAGGTTTTCCGGGGCAAGAATGGGAGGTTCCGGTGCCGGAGATCGCAGCTCTGGGGTAGAAGATCTGCTTTGATGATTTTCTGAGTTGTCCTTTTTGAAGGAAAAAAATATCAGAGAGAGATTCAAGAGAAAAGAAGAGAGGAGAGAGAAGAAAGGAGATACCAGAGGGAGAGGAAGACGCCTGGGGGAGGAAAAGCGCTTGGGAGAGAGAATGAGAGGGCGGTCGAAGATATGGAGGAAGCCGGCCATGCAGCCTATCTGGTTCTCCACTTGTCCCTCTTTCGCCATCGCCATTTTATGAAATGTGGATCTTCTTCTTCTTCAGCTTCGGTCCAAACTCATCACTCTCTCACTTCCCTCTCCCGCTTTTCGGGTCCATTTAAAGGGAAGCACCAAAAATATGCCCTTAAATTACCATCATACCCCCAGCCCCTACTTTTATTCACGCTTTTTATCCCTCGCAACAATTACTTACCGCCATGATGCTTTTTTTTTTTCTTCTTGTTTACGACGTCACCACTATCAGTAGATTCGTTTTTACTGGATCTTACGTAATATTATACCAAAGTCAAACATACTTGATTTAACAGTCCGTGTTTCCGCAATCACGCAACGTCTTCGTTGGGTTCATCGTGTTATCGAAAATACCTTTAGAAGTTGGTGTAGAGTTATATAACAGCATAAAACGAGTGCATGTTTAATGGAATATATATATGTTGTAACGTGGCACATCTATCGTGACACGTGGTATATCGTTTTACACGTAACCTCGTGCGAGTGACCGTTACTCTCTCCTGCGCTCCGCTTAAGCGTTCAAGGGCACATCATCGATCATAGAATTAACTGCATGAATAATAATAAGCCTTTGGTTTCATAAGCATTATGCAATTTATTTGTAATTTCGATAGTAACGGATAACCCATCTATTAATATATACGTACGTTTAGTTGTTAAGAGTAATGAGTTGGCATATTTGCAAGCAACCCTAATTATCCAGGGGTCCTTGTGTCTATATCTTTCTGCGTTTCCGTAAATTTTTTGGAAGGTGGGCATTTATTTTTTGAATGCACAACGATTCCATAACTAATCCAGCTATGTTTTCTGCATTAACATTTCATTATTAAAAATTATAAAAATAAGAAAATAAAAGAGAAAAAACATCAGTGTGGATTTTACGCGAGCTAGAGACAATTCCGATCTGTGATTTGATGTAAAACGTTAGAAAATACTGATGGGAGGAATGCTAAGATTGTGTATAAAAAATGAATTGGTGGGTTGTAAACCAGAGTCTGGGGAATATCAACCCATGGCTTTACTTCACGTTGCACCCATGTGATCAGATGTGAGTGAGTCTATATGCATGTTTCGTCACGGGCTACATATCCTATATATATATATATATATATAATATCCGTATATTCGTTAGATATGTATGATTGGCCGGTCTACTGATAATCAATCACACGCAAAGATTGCTCTGCGGCCTATAAGAGCCCATCGAGCAAACAAACACGAATGTGTCATAACTATAATTTCTCAGTTTATCCATTAAAAAACATCGCACTCGCATGCATCCATGTCCTACCCTTTTTTTGCGTTACCTTTTTGTGTAAAAGAATGTGTTTGCTTCCCGTTCCCTTGGTTGCTGTGTCATATATGGATATGTGTTTGTGTTTTGCATATAACAAAAGGACATCCATACATACATACATACTATTTGACTCTTTTTAATCGCAACGGATGAGATATTTTGTGTTGTTTACCTACGTATTAATCCACCATGCGCAAGATAGCTTTTAGACATCGAGACTTGTGTTTCATTAGATAATAATCTTGTTTGTGTTGTTTTGTCAGAGCATAATATATAATTTCCGTACGCAATGCCATATCAATAAAATGCGCAGGTATGTGTTGTGTACCCTCGACGACTAGGTGAAGTAGCGGAGAAATTGGTGGATAAAAGGAGACGAAAATATATATATATTTTTTTTTTTTTAAAAAAAAGAGGGGAATGAAATGGGCGAATAAGAAAACAAGACAGATATTCAAAGATGTCAGAGTGCTCACCACTCGCGTTGTTTTTTATATTTCACCTCACTGCACATTACATGGAATCTTTTGGAATGCAAAAATCAGCAATCTCATATCATATTAGCTCATCATGCATTGACAACTCCCACAAATACAGAAAACGAGAGCAGCACCGACCAATGCGGGATATATTTATATATATACACACACACACACTGAAAGCATTGGTAAAATGAGATTTGGGTTGATAATAAATGGTGGGGGCTGGGGCATGTGGGAGTCAGAAGTGGATGATGTGAGCGTCCTGAATTAATTATTTGTTTTTAAAATGATGTTACCTGAAAATGGGTGTGAATGATGATGGGCCAAAAAGTGCAAGTATGTAAAAAAAAAAAAAAAAAAAAAAAAAAAGATAAACATGATATAATGGTCTTCAAGGTAATTGAAGAATGGGGGGTGGGTAAATAATGCGTTCCCATCCCCGAGGAGGAGTGGGGCCTTCCCTTTGTCTCATTCGCATTCCCATTTTCACATCAACGGGCTTTCCCAGCCCATGGGCTTATCCTTATGATCCATTTAATTAAACTTGTATTCTCCACAACGGGATTTCCTTCTCCGTACATGGTAATGGAGCCATCCACTCCTCCAAATCTCGACGACTACTCCTCGTCCGCCACCACTGTTATTTTCGACCCTCCCGTCCCGTTGCTCCGGGGACCTCTACCCGCCGGTTACACCGATTATCCGGAACTCGGGCCCTATGTCCTCGCCTTCGCATCGGCCGAGTCCTGGGCCGTCGCTTACAAGCGATGCGAAACCCTAATCCGAGAGCAATGTGAGGAAGGGGCCAGAATCGGCTGCGCCGTCACCGCTTCCAACAATTGCAAGCCACCGTGGTGGCGTAACCTCTCCGGTCTGAGCTCCGAAGACATGAGGGAGCGAGAGAAGTGCGAGGTGCGGGAGTTCGAGGGCTGTTTGGCCGCCGCCGGGGAGAAATGCTCCGGCTTCGCCAAGGACAAGTGCTCCAGGCCATTTCTAGACGCGCGGATCGCGGTGGCGCGTGGCGATGAGGCTATAAGCGCAAATGAGGTTGAGGGATTGGTCTGGTTGGCGTCGATGCCTGAGGATAGCGGGTTCCGGGATCTGTTGGGTTCGCGAAAGCAGAGGACAGCCGTGACGAACTACAGAGCAAGGGATATGCTGAAGGCGGAGAGGGAATGCTTGGTTGGTAAGTGATTCAAATTTGATATGGAGCTGATATAAACTCTGAGAGCTGAAAGCCAAGTTTAGGAGTTAATCCGTATACTCGATGCAGAATAGGGAGGTAGGGTATTTGTGAGAGAATGCGTTATATGAAGAAGAGGGCAGAAGCTGTTAAGTCGAAGTCCCCATGTTTGCATTCCTATTAGTTGGCGTTGATGTTTGTCCTCCAGTGTCCATTTTCTTTCTCAGTCTCAGAGGTTGCATTTCAAATTCTTCGGCCCAATGCGAGAAGAAACTGGTGTTATTGAGTTGGGAGTAAATTTAACAAAACCATGAATTGGATGTAAGAGCGGTGAAACCATTTACCTTTTTGTTGCTCTCACACGGGAAGGAGTCTCTTCTTCTGCAAGTGAGGATTCAATGGTTTAAGTTAAAACCAGTCGAAGATCATTTGCGCCACGTCTTCAAAGTCCAGCCGGCAATCACGGTTTGAGCATTTGGAATATTTTTATAAAAAAAAATGTCAACTTTAATTCTTTTCAAACCAGTGGTTGTTTAATCGCCGACGTCTTTGTTTGTGATGTCGTCAAGTGAGAATTCGGGGCCTTTGACGAAGGTGCGAGGAAGTTTCGGATGGGTGGGGGGTTTTCTTCATCTGATGGTTATCTGTTAGTAATGGAGAAAGTTTTGAATATGCATAAATAATGGGTTGATTAAGAAAAGGGAAGAGAGCTTGGTAATATTTTTTCTAGGGCCATAAACAAACCTTTTGCGCACATGGATTCTCTGTTCCCTTCTGTCTGCCCACTTTATTTCAGTTTCTTAATTTTAAAATAAAAAAGCACCCTATTCAGGCAAACGCATTTTACTAGTAAAGTACTTCCAAATGCGAGCAGACATTCCTATTCCCAACCGTTTGATGTGGAAAATGGGATTCGGTGACTACAGACAAACAGAAAAAAAAAGGTTAATTGAAACGGTCGTATTAAGGTGACGAAGAAATGGGAAGTAAGTCGGGATACGCACGCAAAGCTTCACAACTGTTTCCACAATGTCTGCCCGACTTTTCCCCGTTTTTACACACAGCAGCACTCCATTTGCAATGGATATTTAACAACGTATCCCTTTTTTTTTACATGTAGAGACTTCCGAGATGAAGGTGACCAAGTTCTGGGTTGGTCAAGAATCAATCCATGAAGATTCATGCAATATGATATCCTCAGATGTTCTCGAGTTGTTTTACCAAGGTGTTGGTCTGAACACAACAGGTAGTGTATGCGTATCTGACTCAGGGTCGACGCCTGAGTTTTCGGGCAGCCCAACTGAGAAGGCGCTCATTTCTTGGGCTGTGCTGAAACTTGGCATGGATATGGAGTCAGTGAAGCAAACCCACCACGTTCTGCAAGTTGAAACCTTCAATTCAACAAAGAAACGGAGCGGAGTTTTACTCCGTAGAAAATCTGACAACACAGTCCATGTACACTGGAAAGGAGCAGCCGAGATGATCTTGGCCATGTGTTCCAGCTATTACAAAGCCAATGGATCAGTTGACTCCATGGACTCCAACACGAAAAACAGATTCGAGACAATAATCCAAGGGATGGCAGCCAGTAGCCTCAGATGCATAGCATTTGCCCATAAAGTAACATCAGAAGACTCGGGGATAGAGGAAGAAGGCTTGAGCTTAATGGGGATTGTGGGGCTCAAGGATCCATGTAGACCTGGTGTTGCACACAAGCCATTGTGTGATGGGTTAACCACCTGAGAGACAGCTATCACCGTTTATGAGCTCTATACAAATCACACCCGACTTCTATGTACGTGCTTATCAGCTTATGTATGCATCTCTCTCTCTCTCTCTCTCTATATATATATATATATATATATATATTATATATAAGAAAGAAAAAGACAATTTCAAAATTTCAGGCGGCTGGGAAATGGGATTTAAGAAGAGGCCAAAGCGCATGGTTTTCTGAAGAGAAGAAAAGCATTCCCTTTTGGTCTCTCGCTCTCCCTCACACAGAGAAGAACAAGAGAGAGAGTGAGACGTTTTAAACAAACAGTCATACCAGCTTATCTTCAATAGAACCAAACGATGAGAGACCTCAAAGGAAGTGATTACAGCGCTCTGGTTCTGAAACTAACGAGCAGTGGCCTGACAAAGGCGCAGAGGAGATGGCGCATTGCCTACACAGCCATCTACTCCATCAGGGCTATGCTCTCTCTCCTTCGAGAAATTGTTCCACAGAAATCCCCCGATGTCTCCCTCTCTGCCCCTTACGCGGACAGTGCAATGATCAACTCCATTCCCGAGATTGAGCAGGACCTGCTCTTCCAGATTATGAAGGAGAAGGACTTACGTGGCGTCACAACTCTTGGCGGAGTGGAGGGCGTGGCGGCTGCTCTCAGGACAAACCCCACGACAGGAATCCACGGTAACGAACAAGAGCTTTCCAGACGGCAAGAGCTGTTCGGCTCAAACACATATCACAGGCCGCCTCCCAAAGGCCTTCTTTTCTTTGTCTCTGAAGCTTTTAAAGACACCACAATCTTGATCCTTCTGGCTTGCGCTATTCTTTCACTTGGCTTCGGCATTAAAGAACATGGCATAAAAGAAGGTTGGTATGAAGGTGGGAGTATCTCTATAGCAGTCTTCTTGGTCATATCTGTCTCTGCGCTGAGCAATTTTAGGCAAGAGAGACAGTTTGATAAGCTGTCGAATATAAGCAACAATATCAAAGTGGAAGTCCTCAGAGATGGACGTCGTCAGCTAATCTCCATCTTCGACGTTGTGGTTGGAGATGTTGTCTTCTTGAAGATCGGAGATCAGATTCCGGCGGATGGGCTGTTCTTGGATGGGCACTCTCTTCATGTCGACGAGTCAAGTATGACGGGAGAAAGTGACCATGTAGAGGTGGATCACAAGGAGAACCCATTCTTGCTTTCAGGCACAAAGGTTGTGGATGGATTTGCTCAGATGCTGGTCCTCTCCGTGGGGATGAACACAACTTGGGGACAGACAATGAGCTCCATAAATCAAGATTTAAACGACAGCACTCCGTTACAAGTACGACTTGACACTCTCACATCGACCATCGGGAAAGTTGGCCTCATGGTGGCAGCCCTTGTCCTAGTGGTGTTGTTAGTCCGTTATTTCACAGGGAACACAGAAGGAAAGGATGGTAAAAGAGAGTACAATGGCAGCAAAACATCTGTGGACCATGTGTTTAATGCTGTTGTGCGGATAATAGCGGCTGCAGTCACCATTGTCGTGGTGGCTATTCCGGAAGGTTTACCTTTGGCCGTGACTCTAACACTGGCTTACTCCATGAAGAGAATGATGTCTGATCAGGCGATGGTCAGAAAGCTCTCGGCATGCGAGACGATGGGCTCGGCCACAGTGATCTGCACTGATAAAACAGGCACGTTAACACTGAACGAGATGAAGGTGACCAAGTTCTGGGTTGGTCAAGAATCAATCCATGAAGATTCATGCAATATGATATCCTCAGATGTTCTCGAGTTGTTTTACCAAGGTGTTGGTCTGAACACAACAGGTAGTGTATGCGTATCTGACTCAGGGTCGACGCCTGAGTTTTCGGGCAGCCCAACTGAGAAGGCGCTCATTTCTTGGGCTGTGCTGAAACTTGGCATGGATATGGAGTCAGTGAAGCAAACCCACCACGTTCTGCAAGTTGAAACCTTCAATTCAACAAAGAAACGGAGCGGAGTTTTACTCCGTAGAAAATCTGACAACACAGTCCATGTACACTGGAAAGGAGCAGCCGAGATGATCTTGGCCATGTGTTCCAGCTATTACAAAGCCAATGGATCAGTTGACTCCATGGACTCCAACACGAAAAACAGATTCGAGACAATAATCCAAGGGATGGCAGCCAGTAGCCTCAGATGCATAGCATTTGCCCATAAAGTAACATCAGAAGACTCGGGGATAGAGGAAGAAGGCTTGAGCTTAATGGGGATTGTGGGGCTCAAGGATCCATGTAGACCTGGTGTTGCAAAAGCCGTGGAAGCTTGCAAACTCGCGGGAGTCAACATCAAGATGATAACTGGAGATAATGTTTTCACGGCGAAAGCAATAGCTATGGAATGCGGGATACTTGAGCATGGGGACCAGGATGATGATAAGGAGGTTGTCGTAGATGGTGTTCAGTTCAGAAACTATAATGACGAAGAGAGAATCCAAAAAGTAGATAAGATCAGGGTTATGGCGAGGTCCTCTCCATCTGACAAGCTTCTGATGGTAAAGTGTTTGAGACAGAAGGGCCACGTGGTAGCTGTCACCGGAGATGGCACCAACGACGCACCTGCACTTAAAGAAGCAGATATTGGTCTCTCTATGGGAATCCAAGGCACGGAAGTGGCAAAAGAAAGTTCAGACATTGTCATCCTAGATGACAACTTCGCATCTGTGGCTACTGTCTTAAAATGGGGAAGGTGTGTCTACAACAATATCCAGAAATTCATACAGTTTCAACTCACAGTGAACGTGGCCGCTCTTGTGATCAATTTCATAGCGGCGGTTTCAGC